ATGTGGAAATCAAGAAAAGTTGTTCAAAATGTTTACGTTCATGCGAAATCATTCTCAATCATGTGAGCACATCTCGCATTCGCATTACACTATTCAATCATTTCATGCACAAAAAAAGTTGAAATAACTCGATTGCTAACTATGGACTATAAGGGAGCTAATGTGTGACGAAGAAAACGTGAAACAACACTGTTATTATTTATAAATGGTATAAAATATACTAACAAGTCTTACATGAACAGGCAAATACTGTGGAGATTAGTTTAAGCGAGATTAGTTTCAGCAAGGTTTTAAGTGTTATGGCGTCTTTCGGATTGTAATATTCCGACAACCAATAGTCGCTAATATATAACTACCTGCAAAAATTCCTCCTCTTCTGAAAAGGACTATTCCACGAACTAGAGCTTTGATTTGCTTACTGTGGCTCTATCGATGGAAGCCCGCTCGAAGAGATGTTCCCCAATTAACAGTGAAGAGATGACCACCACGTCCGTAATCATGCACATTCTGACTACAACAGCTCAGTGTCATGAAAACAAAGGACCTTGACACAAACATATAGAACATCCCATCTTTCGTTTAACTCTCCATACTTTCCACACGGATTTCGTGCGATTCGGGGGAGACACCATTCTCTTCCACTTTTGCGCCCCATATAGTAATCAGCTCTCAAAGAAGTTACAGATTCTTTTCTCATAATTCCTCCAATATTTCAATTTAATCAATTTTATCGTAGATGCAAAGAATTGAGCACTATTCAAACTCTCCTTGCATTTGCATTGTTTTTCGTTGCATTATTTTTCGATTATCGTTTAGCAATATTTTCACCTATTTGCCTTCTCCCATGGGGATATAGGGGTATATGTCAAGAATAACGATAGCTGGCAGCAATCGCGCGCGCAAATGCTGTGTCAATTACCTGCACGCGGAATACCCCGCACTTGCGCAGTATACATGTACGCGGCAGCTACAGTAACTCCTCTATCTTCGTCCACAACAACTCCTTTCTCAATGGACATTACCTTTGTGATGCTGTTCAAAATTACTAATTTAAAAAAAGCAAATTTCTAGTGTTTAATCTTATTCAGTGATTTTTCATTCTCAGAACATTCCTGTAGTATTCGTAATGTCCGTCGGGCTCTTTCTTAGAAAGCCGCATTGGAAGTGGATGTGATATTTTTCGCTGTAAACTTTTGAAATTACTACTAGTTTTGAAAAGCTTGTTCGGTTGTTATAGGTAGCAAATAATAAACTGCTAACAATGGTGAAATCAAGTTTTTGCGTGTTCAGATCAAACCAAGGTTAGTATTTAGGCGGTTTGTAACAACTTGTCTAAATTCTTTAACATTCAGGATCAGATTCCTCTCTGAAGCTTTCTTTCAATAACTAGTTCCTATTCTTGAATGGCAATGGTTGAATAGTTTATAAGGTTAACTCAACACATCAGGAAAGGAAGTAGAGCAATGCAAAGCGTTATCTTCTAAAAATCGTCTATTTTCTGAATCTAAACCCGCTTTCATATTGACGGCGACATATTGGGATTGAGTGGAGCGTCTCCTGTGCTCTTTCGTAACACGCACGCAGCATGTTGCGCGGGCGTACGCTGAAAGCGCGGCTACTTGCAGGCTGCTCAGGGTGGCAGCGGCGGCTGGTGCAAGCTATCGTTATTCTTGACCGCCACCC